CAGCGTAGGAAGAAATCGCCAATCGAACTAACAGATCCATCGCAGCCTCGAGATTGGAATCGTCCACAGGTTGGAGATTGGCAAGTGCCCCTCTTGGCAATTTCTTTACCGTGCGAGCGACGCTGACGAGTTTGGCAATCGCCTGGATCGGAAGTACTGCTTTGGATTTGAAAAGTCGAATGCCGAACTTCTCACTTAGTATACGCTGAAGTAGATCCGTGCATCCTTTGTGGTCAATGTCCATGTGTGTCATCCTGTGACTTTTGGCAAGGTACACCGGGAGCTTTTCAATAGCTGTGCAGTCTGGTTGTGCAAGAATTTCCTCCGAGTACTTTTCCATTTCTTCGACCTGTCCAGTGGCCAGTTCCATCTCCATTCCAAGAATGCAGAGCTGCAATGTTAGATCATGCTGCGCTGTCCATTTGTCATTTGGAAGGTATGCGATACCCTTGGTGACGTAAAGACTTGCACTTTGGAATGCTGAAATACTTCTCGCCTTCTCAGCAGCCCGAAGATTCAATTTCGCGTATTCGACTCTTCTTGCGTGTTGTCCCATGTTGACCAAGTCGCAAACTTCAAATAACACTTCGTCGAGTTCATCATCATCCAAGCAATTATAGAGAGTATTACCAACATCGAATTGAAAAAAACGGTCTGCAGCATCCCCAAGCATTAGTGCTGATTTTCGAACATTATCATGAACCCAGCGGTACTGAGTGGGCTCGATTTGTTCGATGAAGCCACCTTTCTCCAGTTGGTGCAGCAAATCATCCAAGTCATCCCCACCTTGATCCGATTTTAAGTTTGACACAAGAATTGCTAAACAATGGACTCTAATCGTAGACCCCAGACAAGCTGCATATTCCAGTACTTGCTGGGCCCTATTTGACAGCTTTTTCACTCTTGAATGGACAATGTTGACCACATTCTCGGTGGACATCGTCTCTCTTTCGACTTCTTCTTCATCCCAAAACCATGTAAACGATCCCAGGGAAAATTGGATCAGGTACTCCTCGGTAAGCATCGTCATAAACTCAATGAGGAAGAAAGGATTCCCGTGTGTTCTTTTGAAGCAGATATCAGCAAGCGCTTCTGTCTTTTCCTTATTGTCCATAGACAGCAAGCTCATGGTAATGCTATGTACTCCTTCCTGATCCAGGTTGCCGATTTTAATGTCAGATAGATTGAATCCATAGTGCGTCGTCTTCCGCGATAATCGATCGAGTTTCTTGGGCAAAATATGATTTTCCCCTATGGCATTGGAGCGGTAGCAACCAACAACCATGAACGAATTCTCATTTTCGACGTCTGATACAAGGGAATCAATCAAATTCAGCGACGATTGATCTGCATAGTGAACGTCGTCCAAGAAAAGCACAAGTGGACTGTATATTTTGTTGAGTTCTCTTGTCAAAACACGAAGCGCGTACACCCATCGACTTTGGTTGGCCTCAAAGCCACCATTCACATCGAGCCGTCGAGAACTTGACTTTCGTGGCACCGAACCTTGGACCATCACTTTCAGTTTCGGTATCAACGTTGCAAGTAAGTTAACATCCGTTCCAAGTTTGGCAGTCAGTGCCTCTCCAAGAGTTTGCAATTTCCCGGACTCGTCGTAAGTGGACACCGACAGGGATCCCCTTCTTTCAATGTCTCCAAGTATCTGACCAAAAGCAGACGCAAATGCGGCATACGGCAGATCCCCGCTGGAAAAGTCAAACTTTCCTCTAGCACAAAATCCAGTTGCACTCTGATCGCAAACTTCCAGCATGGACGATACAAGAGAAGTTTTTCCCACCCCCGAGTACCCATGAACAAAGACCAACTCTTTCTGACCGCTTTGCATATAAGTGTCAGTAATATTAGTTGTTGTATTTGTCAACCTAGCGTAACACTCCATCAGACGCTTGGTTTCCTTTTCGCGTCCTACCAAACCAACCTTGTCATATTGTAACTTGTTGATCGTCAGACCATCCATCACAGATCGGACTTTGCCGGCATATGGTGAGGTGGACATCATTTTTTCACTGACCGACAAGGCGTCATCTACCTTGTTTCCCCTCCCACGGGATCGACGTGAGAAATGGCCAGTGCTGCCATCATCGCGGAAGGAAGAAGTATGATCACTCCGAGACAATGCATCGTCATAGTCATTATCTAGGTCACAAGATCCAGCGGAACCAATCGAATATAGATCATCATCACAGGTCCTTCTTGGTGATCTAGTGGATCTCTTTCGTCTTGGTTTCCTTATACTTCGTGGGGACCTTGAGAACCGTTCACTGTTGGAGAGTTGGTCACCGTCGTCATTGGCATCGACTTGCCGCTTTGCCATGGCACAAACTCGTTCGCTGTTGTCCAGTGGATCCACCATCACAGGAAGGGATACAGATCGGAGGACGCTGGTAGGTTGGTTTGGAGATAAGGAAGATCGTTCACTGCTCGACAAGGGATCCGTAAAGTCAGAAGACTTGGCGGATCGTTCACTGGTGGCTGAGGAGCGACGAGTGGCTCCTCGTCGTATCCTTCGTGGGTATACTGATTTATTGTACGAGATTCGTTCACTGGAGGACAATGGATCCCCAGGTTTTGCACCACCACCACTATTTCTTTCTTCCATTAGTGCCAAGGAGGACCTGGGTCGTCTTGGAGACAAATAAGATCGTTCACTGTTGGAAAGTTGGCTGCCTACTTTCCTTCTTCGTGGATTTGGGGACTTGCTGAAGGACCGTTCATCATTGTTCGAAAGTTGGTTTTCAGTCTCCATGGAATGCTGTGAGCTTCTCGCTTCATGAGCAAAGGAGATATGCCGGATGGATGGGTCTCTACCACCCATGGACAATTCATCAAATGCATCTGCTTGAGACGATCCAAACGAGCTGTCACAAGAAAGCTCCGAGACAGCCGATTTGTACCGCTGCTGAGATTTATGATCCATCACAATCTGCAGCTCGTCTGAGAATTCTTCGAAAAAATCTGAATTTTCTGCTGGCAATGTTGGATACAATTGGTGTTTCGACTCTTCCTGTGCGCTGGCGACTGGCATAACTCTAGATGATGCCATGGCGCTAGATAGCATGTCTTTGCTGGAAGAGGAGCAGGTGATGTTGTGCTGCAGAGGAGTGTTCTGAACCGTCAGAGCAGACGAATGACCTTTTCGTGTTGTCGTGTTAAGGCGGGAAGTTATCGAACCACGTTTCGCGTCCAGCGTGCAGCGTGCAGTGCATTTCATTTTTTTTGCTGCACCCTGCACGCGTGTTTAAAGTCGATAGCACAAAACCGGAAAAATCGTGCATGCATGCACCTCAAAAAAAGGGCAGTCGTATTGGTCGTACATCAATTACTTTTGTACTATAATTTTATTTTGGCATAGTAAGTACCGGTACAGTTATGTTGAATTGCATGGCATCATAACCAACGACGAATTCTGATAGCTGAGCGTCGTACCTGCCGCTCATCATGTCACCCGATCCCTCAAGCTCAGACTCATCAATGTCATGGGATTCATCAAGCTCCTCAAGTCCCTCCTCAAGCTCAAAATCATCCATATCATCGGAGTCTTCAAAAAGCTCCTCAAGCTCCTCAGATGATTCCTCAAGCTCTTCAAGTGACGAAATGGATATCTCTGCCTGCTCCCAGGATTCTTTACTCAATATTCCTGACGAATTGCTGTTCGAAGCCTACCTGAGGAGGGCAAGCAAGATCAACTACACAGTCTTCGAATTCGGCTGCTAGTAAATTCTCTTCTTGAATTTTAGCTCCCTCAGTACTTCTTGGTGTTGTAGTTGTAGTTGGTGTTGATGTTGGTGTTGCTACTTGTCGAACTCCCACATCGTGTGTTGCCAGAACGTCGCTTCCGCCGCATTCCTTGGAACAGTACCAGTGACCGTCTTCCTTGCTAATTGACATCAACATATTTTCCTGTACACACAAATTGTGGACTCCGCATTTACATTGAATGCAAGCATGATTCGGATGGAGAGAATCATGTTTGCAGTTTCGGATGCTGCAAAAGCCATTCGAATGTGATACTGCAACTTTGGCCCAAACTCTTCTACCGACTAATTTGGCGGCAGTATTTTGGCCACTGGGTGGCAATCCTTTGGCTCTACTTTTTTGTTTGTTCAAACCAATGTTGTGATGAAGGTTATCATCTTCCTCGCTATCAGAGTCTAGTGCAAAAATTGACACGGCATTAGTCATGGTAAACTAGTGAAAAGAGCAGAAGATCAAGTGCTATGAAGTCTTTTCGTATTTTGATGTGAATTGTGAGTTGAGGTCTTCGAAACCATTATTGAGAATTGGCCAATCAAAATCGTTCGATTTCAAAATGCACCGTGCATGGACAATCGTCCAGCATGAGCCAAAATGGATGCAGCTCAAGGGGGGTACCCGGAAGTAACTGTCCAGCGTGGAAAAATTCACGCTGCATGCATCATTTTTGGTTCGATAACTTCCCGCCTAAGAGAGCGAAAGTGTGCAGGTGCTCTGTGTGTGGTCGCGCAGATGTGGCAGAGACAAAAATTAAGTCTCTTCTGGTCAAATTAAACGTGAAATACATAACGGACAGGTCATAACAATAAATAAATTTTCTTGTCGAACATCAAAAATATATAAATGTTCCAGAAACTGGTATTTTGACTCTTGAAAAGAGAATGTGTGAAAAAGATGACGATGGAATGCTCACTTCCTAGCCACAAATAGCTACTGTAAGTACAGAACCGAAACAGAGATACCAACTAAGGAACTTCTGCATTTTATACTGGACTTTCTAAATGTCCAACAGGCAACGTCAAATTCAGGATTACAGCTTTCGTCGTTGGACCAATGCTTTTTAAACCTGCAAAAGTAACATCGTTCCATCTCCTCTGAAAGGGGCGTTCGAGGCACATTCGACTATTTGGTCACAAGCTGAGGTGGCAAAAAGAGTTTGGTGCGAAAAAAAAGACGCCCCTGCAGGCAGGCGAAAGGTGTTCGTGTTGGTCAAAGCCAGAATTTTGAAGCTATCTATATCGCAGTACGGGCAGAATGCACTAAGAGAAATCAGCCTGTCTGTTTCTGAGCGAATTATGAATCATACTCACTTCTTCAATGACCTGATTGTGCTAATAGAACGACATATACAGGAGTTGCCTCTGAAAACAAAGGAGATAAAGGAAAGCAGGAGAGGATCATGGATGATACTGAGAATGGTAGTTCAGCTGAAATCAAACAACAAGATGGCATTGACGATATTAGAAGTGGGCAAGTCTGCTGCAATGATGATGAAGATGGCGACTCGGCACGCCGCGAGAAGGATAAAGAGCCCCCATCACCTCGTCAAGCTTCTGCTGCAGTCGATATGACAGGATCTATCAAGTTGCCAACTTCAGTAGTTTCTAAATTCAAGAAGCGCTCGTCAAGGAACAACAGTGGGACACAGCAGGTTGAAGAATCATCAACAAGGCCATCTCTCTCCAAACAACGGTTCCGATATAATGGCAGCAACGACGAGGACAGCAGTAGTCGAGGTTTTGATTTTTCAAGTGACACGGACCTTATGAGCGGAGAATTGACGGTTCAGCAAATCCATGATCAGCGCCTAAAACTTTCAGCGCAGTCCACCACTAAAAAAGAGGCAGAAGCAGCAGCTCTTCCAGTGGCGCCCAGCACCCACCAGATTTCAGCATCAAGCTCGAAAGGACCCAGAACAAGGACTGTCGGCATGCCCATGGGACCTGGGGCATATTCTGTTGCTCCTTCCAGTAATGATGTATCGGTTGTACGATCGAAAGACAGTAGTGATGATGATAGCGATATTTTGGGCAACGCTGATGATAGCGATAGTCCATCGTCTATAATGCAATTGGAAGCTATTCCAGTGGACGAAACTCTTGAACAAGCCAAGATGAAAGAAATGGAGGAGCAGATGAACCTAGAGATCTCACGACGCCTTTCTCTCGAACGGAAAATAACAGAGGAGCGTACTACAGGCACTACAGGACGGCGACATGGCAAAGGAGACTGGGCGGCAACTAATAAGGAGAGGATGCCAATAATCATGGCGATCCTTATCCTCGTCTCCGGGATATCGGTAGGAATATACTTTTTGGTTGCGCCTGCACCAAAGGTTGAATCACCATCCAGCAGTACATTCTTCTTTTATCCTCCTCCAACGGAAGAAGAGTGTAGTGCAGTCAAGAATGGAACCACAGTCCCGGATCAAGACAAGTACTTTCCCTTGATGATGGAAATTACAATGGATGTGTCCTTTCGATTTCCATTGACAGATGATTCTTCTATTGATGCAGTCCTATTGGAAGTGGAGGACAATTCTCGATCCGTATTTATTCCAACTGTGCTGGGATGCACCAGTATCAGTCAAAGTCAAGAATACTTCAACACACAATTCACACCAGATCGCTATGTCCTGGCCAATATGGACATTAGAAATGTGTCGAGAAGTACTGTGGATTGCAAAGCTGGAGAACCAGAGCCCTGTGTCCGAGCTGTGGTTCACTATATTGCATGGCTCAAGGGTGAGACTGATGTCTTCCGAATGATCTCTTTTGTACAAAGAAACTTTGGGCCAAAGCTAATTCAGGATGTCAGCAGTCATGGCGACGAAATCCTGAAGATGTCGTTGGTTTCGATTTCATCGCCCGGCCATGATGATACTCTTCCAAGTGCAGTCGATTTCTTATTCCCGCCACCAACGGAGGAAGAATGCGAGGCTGTATTGAATGGGCAACCCGTTCCGGATCAAGACACATACATTCGACTCATGGTGGATACCACATTTGATGTATCCACCTACGGAGCGGACTACTATACCAACGATACAGTATTGCTAGAGGTTCAAGAGAAAGTTCAATCCAATGCTGTTCCAACTATGGTGGGATGCACCACCATTGGTCAAGATATCGCCAACAGCACCGACCGGTACATTCTTGCCAATGCTAAAGTCACGAGGGTGATGAGGAGTGGTTTTGAATGCGAGCCCGAACATTTCCAGCCATGCCAACAACTTGTGATTCGTTTTTCTCTTTGGTTAAAGAGCCAAGCCGAGTTGTTTGATCTGGTTGCGACGTTGCATACCAATTTCCGGCCCATTTTGATGGAATCGATCACTGATAGTATTATCATTCGGGAGTTTGTATTGGTGTCAATAGGTCCATCACCACTGGATGACGATCACGAAGATAATCACAATCCTAAGGTGGACGTTTCACCAAGTGTTGATTTGCTGTTTCCACCTCCAACAGAGGAACGCTGCGAACAATTTTTGAATGGCACGGCAATCGCAGATCGAGACAGGTACTTCACCATTGTAGCAGATGGAGTTATTGACGTTTCCACTTACAATTCATGGGAGGAATCCTTGGACGTTGTCCTACTGGAGCTTCGAAATCAATTTGAATCAACTGTGCTTCCCGTACTGGCTGGATGCAAAGAGATAGACAAAGATCTGCTGAAGGGCAAAAACATGACAGCGGATCGTTACATGATGGCGGATGCGGTTGTACTGGACGTGACCAAGAGCCCTTCGGAATGCAATGCCGAGGAACCTCAGCCTTGTGTTCGAGCTGTTGTTCGTTTGCAGATGTGGGCGAAGATGGAAGTATCTATCTTTGAGATTATTGCCGCCATTGATCAAAATTTTGGACCCGCTTTAATTGAGCAAATTGGAAGCGATGACAGTGGTACTGACATCATCAAGCATGCTGAAATGGTCATACTACTTCCGCTGCTTTAAAGCAGCCGCTTTCAGAGGACTCGTTGTATTTCATAATTAGACATTCCATTTTTGTACTAAAGCTTTGGTATCAGAGTACGATTACTGCCAAGAATGAATGATGGGATGGATACATCATGCAACATGCATGTTGAGGAGCGCTTTTAATTAATTGTGGTCATGTTGGTCGAAGATACAACTTTGAAATTTCATTGAGCCCAAATTCGAAGTACCACCATCGTGTCAGCAGAAACTAACTAACGGTACACCATGATGATGATTCTTCGCCTTTTTCAGATCCGTCCAAAAAAAACATGAGCAAGAGTTCCAAGTTCGTTCGAGGCTTTGAATCCGTCTGCTTACACGGTGGATATTTGCCTGAGGCAACGACCACCAGTCGAGGAGTTCCCATCTATCGCACTGCTCCATATGTCTTTCCATCCACAGAACGAGCGGCCAAGCTCTTTGCATTGGAAGAGCTGGGAAACATCTACACTCGTCTGATGAATCCAACGACTGACATTCTCGAAAAGAGATTCGCTCTCATGGAAGGAGCTCACGAGCTCGGTGCCCTTGCGGTCGCTTCGGGAACGGCTGCTTGTTTCAATTCCATCATCAATCTTGCCGAACAAGGAGACAACTTTGTCAGCGCTCGTAACTTGTACGGTGGAACTTTTACTCAATTCAATGACATTCTTCCCAAATTTGGAATTACTGCCAAGTTCACTGACATTACCGATCCCCAAGCTGTGGCCGATAGCATTGACGATAAGACACGTGCTATCTTTTGTGAAAGTGTCAGCAATCCTGCCATGGAAATCAGTCCTTTGGAAGAGTTGGCGGCCATTGCCAAGGATGCCGGTATCCCATTGATTGTGGATGATACTTTCACCACTCCTTACTTGTGCAAGCCACTTGACTGGGGTGCTTCAGTTGTTGTCTCTTCGCTAACTAAATGGACTGGTGGCCATGGTATCGGAATCGGTGGCATCGTCGTGAGTCGTTTTTTGTAACATTTGCTGCAGGACACGAACTTGTCTAATTTCTGACGATTTGTTTTTGTGATTTAGGTCGACTCAGGCACTTTCGATTGGAGTCAGGGAAAACATCCCTTGTTCACCGAACACGACTCTAGTTACGGCGGATTGCGATGGGGAGTCGATTTGCCAGAGACGCTGTTACCATTGGCATATATTTTGAGAATGCGCACTGTTCCTCTTCGCAACTTGGGTGCCTGCATTAGTCCTGACAACAGGTAAGATGCGCCTTTTGGCTTATGGCTGTGCATCCTCTATGATTATGACAATGTTCTAACTCTATTCTTCCTCCTTGCTTATTTACGCCTAGTTGGATGTTCCTTCAAGGGATTGAAACACTGCCATTGCGCATGGAGCGTCACTGCGAAAACACTCAAAAAGTCGCGGAATTCTTGGAAAATCATCCCAAGGTGGAATGGGTCCGCTATCCGGGTCTCAAGGGAGATTCTGAATATGAAAAGAACCAAAAGTACTTGCAAGGCAAGGGAGGCTCCCTCGTGGTCTTTGAACTCAAGGGTGGTGCCCAAGCTGGTCAAGCCTTTATCGATTCCTTGGAGCTCTTGAGTCATGTGGCCAACGTGGGCGATGCCAAGTCCTTGGCGATTCATCCAGCTACCACCACCCACTCCCAAATGAGTCCACAAGAACAGGCAAATGGTGGCATTACTCCTGGAATGGTTCGACTTTCCATTGGACTCGAAACCATTGACGATATTCTCGCGGATATTGACAATGCCCTTACCCAAGCTTGATAGAAGACTGAATTTATCATGGCTTCCAGGTGAGGACGCGTTCTGTCTCCAGATTTGCTGAACTCTAGTATTGGTTCAGAAGGATATGCGAGCAATGGTGTATCGTGGCACCATTTCGCTTGGCGGAAGGAAGAAAGGGGGTCTCGAGATGCCCGTTTCCTTTCCGACAAGTCTTTTTAGGATTTAATTCAAAAAGTCTTACAGCGTGATCTATTCATGCATTTCTATTGTTAATATGTTTCAGTTTGGTCTATTCTATGTGCGTCGCTTCTTTCTGGCATTGGTCTTTGTGGACATGGACCGTTTCGATCCCGATCCAGATCCTGAGGTCGACCCGCTACCCTTTGGCTTTCCTTTCACTCTTGTGTCTCCTGGCTTGCGTTGGGTGGGCTCGGAATTCAATCCATAGAGTCCCAGTGATATTCGATGATTATCCACCTGGAGGATATCAACTCCAAGCTCCTGGCCAATCAACAACTGTGAGAGCTCGAGCGGACCCAATTTCGAAGTGTGGAGCAATCCATCATTGGGACCACCAAAGTCTATAAAGGCACCAAAATCGGCAATATTTCGGACAGTCGCAATGATACCACGCAATGGTGCAGCTTCTTTGAGCTTTTCGGCATTTGTGGCAAGGTCGGATGGCAACAGGGTACAGCCTTTGATACAACCAACCTCGGTGGTGGAAGATTTTCCATTAGCAGAGCTCTCTAACCGCGGGTCCTTTTGCAATATGGAATCAATCAGATTTTCCAGCACTGAAATGACGCGCTCTCTGCTAACATTGAACTTGTCGGAGGCTTGACCGATCTCCGTGTCCCACTGTTCGATCCATTTCTCTTTTGGGACAGAAATAGTTTTTATTGTCCTCTCATCCTCCTTCATCAACAGCCTCAATTGTGTCAAGAGGAAACGAGCCAAGTCATAGGATTCTGGGTGAACAAGAGTATTATCCAGTGGTTCTTCTCCATTGGGTACCCGCAAAAAGCCTGCGCAATTCTCATATGTTTTGGGACCTAGCCCGGTCACTTTTAGCAACTCATCGCGGTAGGCAAACGGGCGGGCCTTCGCAACCTTTGGAGCCAGCTTGTTTAGACCGGGGACCATTTCCAGAATTGGAAGGCTACAAGTATTCAAATCAACCCCAACTTTGGCTACGGCATCGACACTGGTAAGATGAAGTCGCTCTTCGAGTTCCTTTTCGGACAAGTCATGTTGGTACATGCCTAATCCCAAACTCTTGGGCGGTACTTTGACCAGCTCGAAGAGTGGATTCTGAAGGCGTCTTCCAATGGAAATGGATGCAATGGCTGATGCTGGTTGATCCGGAAACTCTTTCAAGGCAGCTGGTGATACGCTCCAGACACTGGCGCCAGCTTCGTTTACCAACTGAAGGTCAATTTTCGTTTCGTCTTGAGATGCGGCTTCCTGAATCAGCTGGCGACATTCATTCGTCCCGTGTCCATTCCCAAGGGCGACTAGCGTCAAGGAATCACCAGCAGAAGGATCCAGATCATGAGTCGCCCGAAGCAGATCTTGCAATTTCGACACGGCTCGATCCTTGTGCTTGCCCAGAAATTGGACTGTGTCAAGCTTAATTACTTGTCCCGATGCATCCAAAACGGCGCACTTGATACCTGCTTGATACCCCGGATCCAATGCCAATAGTGGTCGAGTTGGTTGCAATGGGGGTGCTAGTAGTGCCCGCTCCAAATTGTTGGCAAAGACCCACGAGGCACGATCTTGTGCTTCCTTGCACCGTTCGTTCCACCAGCGTTGAGTACCTCGTCTTCTCAAGAGTCTAGACCAGGCATCGTGCACAACTTCGGAGAATAGATTACTTTTGCGACGCAGCCATGATGGAACCAATGGTGTTTCGCTGTTGTGCAAATGGTACTTCAAGCAAGATTCCATCTTGGTTGAGTCAATGTCATAGGACATTCGAAGAACCTTTTGTGCCGAACCTCTTCGAATGGCCAAGATTTGATGGTCCTTGATGAGCCGAAGTAGCATGGAAAAGTCATGGTAGTTTTCGTAAACTTTGTCATTTGAATTTTCCTGCTTGCCATCTTTGGATGATTTCGAAGCAGTAGTGGTGAAATAAATAAGCTTAGTCTGAAGTTTGCCATATCGGTGTAACTGATCCGAGACAATTTCTCCCATCTTTGGCTCTGCAGCAACCTTGGATCCCAACCATGACACGATCGCTTCCTGTGGATATTCTCTGGACAATTTGTTGATTAGATCCAAATCTTGCTTGATGCTACTTTGACTTTCATTGCTTGACGATGACCACAGCTCTTCCAAGCTTTGGACTAGTTTCGGATGCTCTTTTACAATCTGTTGGAGAATAGAGCCTTTGGCAGGTGGCTTGTAAGGTGCATAGAGATCATCTAGCTCGGTCTTGGAAATACTCGTCAAGATGCGCTTCACAAGAGCACGGTCCTTCGTTTTGGATCTGTCTTTGTCACCATTCAGAGCATCCAACAGCTTTTTCCGTAGAGTTGCTAGTGATTCATGTTGGGATATCCAGGTTTGTAGCTGATGTACTTGTTGGGTGGTCAATGGATGAATGACATCGGATCGATACCGACAGACAAACGGGACGGACGCCGAGGCTGGACCCGATGCGCCGGACGACGACAATAAGGGAATGGTCCGTGAAATTGCAGCCTGAACCTGCTTTGGTGTCCCCTGCGATGATAATGATTCTTTACTTTCTTTCAACATCAATGGAGTCCATACTTCGGCAAGCATCGACGGAGAAACTGCCTTGTGATCGTTCATCAAGACAGAGAATGATCCGGGAGATGTGGGATCAATTTCCAGGGATTCTTCCAAGCTCAAGGGATCTGATGCAGTAGTGGAAAGCCAGATTCTCGTGCCACTGCTCAATCGGTTATGAGCGGTTATCCACGTTGGAGTGAAGCCCAACCTTGTACTTGGAACGGCGGTGTGGTGAGGACTGTGAACTTGACCAGAATGTCTGAGGGCTCGTGAGGAATAAGAAAACCACAGGAGGGATGGTCGGAGCCTTCTGGGCAAAAGCATTTGCCAAGCGACAGGAATAAAGGTGAATACTGATCAACTGAAACGCATTCGAAGACCGTGTAGATGGCTTCCTTGGTTTCTGGTATATGAAGCTTATTGAACAGGTGAAGGTGATGAAGGTGAAAGAAGTATTGATGATTACGCACGGTTATGGTGATGACAATAAAATAAGATCGCGATTCGATTCATTTTGATGATGTCTGTCCTTTGCTCGTCCTCACCCATCACCCCACTTTTCGCGGACGGACACGCGTGTCCCGAGTGACCCAATCAGTAGTAGTATTTCTACGAGGTACACGCCAGCAAGCCCCTATAGAAACTCTTTTTTTTGAATTTTTATAGATTTTGACAGTAGGGAGCGACGCCGACTGGTACCGTATCAAAGATACAACACCTTCCGTTTGGACATCTCTCTCAAGGACAAAAGAAAACAAGAAAAGATAGATTCATCATGTCCTGTTTGTTTTGCTTTTCGGGAGACCCACTCTCCGAAGATGAGAAGAAAGGAAAATATGGAAACGCCCTGGGACCCTACGCATCGTACAACCAAAAATACGACATTACCATGTGCAAGGCTCCTTGCAGTGAACCCTGTTGCTGTTTGATCAGTATGGTGTGCATGTGTCCTGTCCAAGTGTACATGCGACACAGGGCTCTGAATCATGTGGAACCTGGTTCCGGCTGGAAGAATTACATTTGCTGTCAGGGATTGTTCGGAGGATGTATGTGCTTGCAACCTGGAAAGATGGGAGAAAAGACCTGTCCTGTTCCTTGCATGTGTTTGGAGGCATGCATTTGTCCTGGTAAGATCATACTGCTGAAAACGATGATGGCAGTGAAATTTATTCGGTGTAGTATGCAATATGGAGACCAGATCTAATCAATGTTTCTTTCTTTTGTATTTCTTCAGGTGCCGCTGTCAGTGCTACTTCTGGTGTCATTCGACAAGAATACAGCCTCGGTCTAGATGAGGATGATGTCAAGCTCATTCGGTGCAACAACTGTTTGCAAATTGCTTCCTGTCTCTGTACTATCATTGCCTGCATCACTCCATGCGAAGGAGATGACCTTTTTGCCCAAGTCCTCAACACTATTGCCGATATTGTGTTTTGCAGTGTCACTGGATGTATGACAGCTCAGTGCTACCATGAAATCAACTTGAGAGAAAAGATGAACGCTCCAGGAGGAAACGAAATGCAACGACACTAATTCGGAAAACATCAGCCCCAAAAGGGAAACTTGAGAACCACATCCCCTTACCAAATCATATCATATTCAGCATCACACAATCACACACATTTCTTGCGGTTCAGTCACCTTCCGGTACCATTATCATACCTAGTATTATTATAATATTTGTTCATCTTATCAGCCATACCATCTGTAGGTGTGCTGCAAATTTGAAATTGATTTGGTCGATCTTCCTGCTGGGTTTTTTCATAAAGTGACCTGTAAGGTACAGAAAAAGCTGAAATTTGAAAACGGCAATGCTCAAAATGCGACCCTCACCAATAATCGATCGTCACAATCAAACCCTTACCGGTACGGTACAAACAGTCGAACCCTATACTCGATTCGATCCGATCCGATCCGATCGTCCAGCCATATAATCACACCGAAATACTGTACCCCTAGACTGGCTGACTTAGATTACCAATCACAGCACTCAATTCACGAAAATGGCTCCCATTCGCAACAATAGGTTTCAACAAAAACCACAACGAAAAATCCCATTGCATTGGATCGTCATGGTCCTCCTCTTTGGACTCTATTTCCTCAAGGAAGCAGCATTTTCCGACTTTGAATCATCTTCTATATCAGTTCTTTCCAGCATCATTAGTGGCATTCTGACGGGTCCCAACAAAGAATCCCTCAAAGTATGGGATTGGAAGAGGCCGGACCTGGGGAACGTGAAGCAACATATGGAATTTGTGCGAACGGCGTCCGAAATTGTGCCTCGAAACAAGTATTACCCAATCCAACACGTCCACCGCAATGGTTTGTTACATAGTGGAATGGTGGTGGCTGTCCTGGATAGCAACGTTGCAAACATCGATGCCAAAATTCTATTGCTCAAGCGTGCGCCTCAATTGGTCACCTGTCCCAACGCTTGGGGTTTGGTGGGCGAACATACCTTTCAAGATGAAACGCCTAGAGACACAGTCATTCGAGGAATGAAAGAAGAATTGGGAGATGCCTTTTATCAGCAGTTTGTGCAAAAGGGGAGCAAGACTATGGAATTAGTCAAGCTCCCAGTCTACGTAGACGTGGACTACAGTGACAACGGAAGTCTAATCGACCGACAAATGACCCACTTGCATGTGATAGAAATGAATACACCCTTGGAAGAATTGAAAAAATTGTTGGAGCTGGACGACGAAGTTGCCGAAACAACATGGATGACCCGACAGGAAATCCAAGAGGGGTGGATGAATTTCAATCCTGCCGAAAAGTTTTGTTCCAACGAACTGGCCGTGCTCCTTCAGCTGGTATTGCACAGATTGGACGACTTTGAAAGAGAAGCTAATGCAGATAAATATGAGGCAGAAATGCATGCAGCCGCAAAGCGAAAGGCAGCGAACAAAGCCGCTGCCAAGAAGGCTGCTGCAGAAGCCGCTGCTGCGGAAGCTGCTGCTGCAGAAGCCGCTGCTGCCGAAACTGCACCCGCTGCCGAAGACGAGGGAAAAAGTGAAGACGACGAAGATGACGAAGACTCTGATTCGGACGATTCGGATGAGTAGATAATGTTCTGTACGAGTACCGATTATATTGTTCTTGTCTTTATGTTACAAAAAGAAATAGGTTGATGATGTGCGGAATCAATCATTCATGCATACATAAGGCTAATTCTAAACGATTGCCAAAAACAGGGAAACAAAGAGGTGGTCGCAAAACACTTAGGATGCTTCTCACTTCCGGGGTTTTCTAGCTCTGGACGATAGTCTTGTTGATTTTTGATCGGTGTGGCGTGAGCTTCTTGCGCCCGGGTCCCTGCTCTTGGTCACATTATTCTTCACGTTTCTGTCAGTCGCAGGCAGTTTCTTGGCGGGAATAGATGGTTCGGCGTTCTTCAACCCCCGTATATGCCAACAAAAGTCAATGCTATCAAGCTTGTCGATTCGACTTTGATTTATAAACGTCGCCAATCCTTGATCAAATTGTTTCTTTTGCGATCGCTGATGTTTGATCCAAGCTCGAAGCTGTTGCTCCGGCTTGTCGGTGGATACTACACGAGTATGACCATGCTTCTTACGATAGGCCTTGAGTTCTTCAAATCGCTGAAACCACTTGATTTGTTGCTTGTCAAAACAAAAGTCAATCTTACCCAAGGCCTCGATGCGTTCCGGTGTCATGGTACATCTATCGTACTTTCGATGGTACAATTGATACTGATGACGTTGCCGTTTGGCCTAGTTTTTAAAAAAGGTCAAAACAAGTGAAGGCGAAGGAATATGTGAGATGGATTCACAGTTCAATCATTGGAAATTGCAATGATGTTCTCGTACCCAACTAGCCAACCCTGGATCAGGTGGGTAAACGGATGGGATATTACAGTGACCGTGCTTCTTTCGGAAGCGAGCAGCAGTTTTCAATTGCGTTTCCCACTGATTGACCTGATGTTTGAGTACTCTGACTTTTCTGTTGGTCGAGTTGGTGTGTGCAGTCGGTCCTTTGGGCACAGTCTTGAGTTTCTTGGACGGAGTTGACTCCTTTGAAGGTTGACCCCGTTTCCTATTTGGTGGAACCGACTGTGTTAGGACAAGCGGCTCGAACTTGCCACCGCTCAGCCCGGGGATTTCGGACATAGCCTCTTTGCGATTGCGCTCCTTCAGATTCTGCTGAAACATTCTTTGAGGTAGTGAAAATCTTGTAAGGACCTTAGCAGTGCTTCGGTCTTGAGACTGCTCTACTTCTGCATCGTCGAAAATATCACTGTCCCATATGCTGCTGATAACTTCCTTCTGATGAAGTCGAATCAATGCGGAAGCAGATTCGATCAATTCAGATTCATCTAGTGTGTCGCTAAAGCTAAAAGACATTAGTTCTTGTTAGATGCCCTGCGACGCAAAACAAAGAGGCGAAACAGCCCAAGCCGACACCACTTGAATAGATCAATACAACTTACCATTGCATCGAAATGATTCCAGATTCCCGAGCACAATGTCGTCGATACCTATTATGCAACCGCTCTACCACCGAAAAGGGATCATCTGCGACTGATTTTCGCGGTATTTGCGGTACATTAGAAAGTGGACGACCTCCATTCACTAGTAGCGCATGGAGGATCGGGGCGTCATCTTGAGGAATGACTGTTGGTTGAACAGGCATTCGAGCTCGCTCCTCACGCTTCTCATCAAAAGCAAAAGTGATTTTCTTTTGTATTTCCCCTTTGGATGCCTTTCCGAAACCCCCAAGGGCAGCATCCCATTGTATGAACTCAATGCTGTCATTCTTCAACTTCTCCAATACTTCCTGACACATAACATCATTATCGCTGTCTTCCATTTCCAAGGACGTTGTACTGTTGTCGTCCAGGAGAACATCGACGTAATGCTCCAAAAGTCGGTGTGCATGTTTTCGATTGTGCGCCCTTGTGACACCGCCTCCGCAGATAATATAATGCGACAGTGATGGATCCAGAGACAAGCGCATTTTCAATTTTAAGTCCTTGTAGCTGATTTCTTTTTCGAAAAGCAATCTTATTCGTCGACCTCTCATGCTTTCAGTTCTTCGCTCTCCGTCATCGAATAACAAACGGAAAACGCCTCTACCCATATCTTTAGATACCAAAGTTCCATTTTCATATTCATCGTCCTCTTCGTCATACACACCAATTCGAGACCCAACCTGAATTCGATGTCCGAGGTCTTCGTCCCAATCGAATGTGTCTTCGCCTTTTGGAATCGAGTCAAGAGACTCACTGGGATATTCGTATCCCATTGCTGGATACTGTTTGTCTAGATTCAAGTTGTTGACCCTTGCACAATCTTCACACACCCAGTCTCCTTCGGGCATTTCCTCCCGAAAAACACAATACATATGTACCCCCTTTCCACAGCCAATTCCAGCCAATAGAGAGTGACATCGAATCAATTCTCCTTCTTCCTTACACACATCGCATGGTCCTACGGAATGGACAGAAGAATCAGCATCACCCTCCTCGTCCTCGATGTATTCATCATCGAACATAGAACCAGAGAGATTTTTTGGCCGCCACATTAAGTTGCCAGCTGTACTTGGCTTCCTTTGTTTCCACTCTTCCATTGCTTGTTCAAATTGAAATTGCTGCTCTTGTAAGTTAAAATCCGATTCATCGCTAAATGAATATCCGTAGTCCACAATGTCCTTATTTCTCAATTCTTTGGGCATTTTCACATTGTGGTCATGTCGAACGCAGCATGTAGTGCATATCCAGCCACCCTTGGGGATTTCCTCTCGTCCTACACAGAATGGATGTACCACCTTGCCGCACCCAATTTCAGGAATGTCACCAGCAATCGAAGCATGATGACACTGCAATAGTTCTCCACCGAAATTGCAATGATAGCACAAGAACTCTTTTGAAAGCGGTTTTAGGGTAAGCGTCCCTTCTTCTATCTTAAAGTTGATTGGAACTGGACGATCATTGTCGATTTTCTGCTTGGTTGGAGTTTTTGTAGATTGTTTGTGCTGCGGTTTTTTGTTTTCTTCGAGCGGATTGAAATACTCTGTTTGCTTTCTTATCCTAGAGGGTTTGGATGACTTAGCTGGAGTTACAGTTGCTGGTTTATCGGGAGGCGATTGGAGAGAACAACGAGGAACCCTGTTCTTATTTGCCTCGATGCGACTGCTTCCTGTAACAGTTTTATCCAAACGGAACGAACGTGCTGGCATGTTTGCAGACCTATTTGATTTGATAACTAATAGACAGACCACAGCAGTAAACAAAGCGTTTTATCCCTGCAAACGAAGGCAATGGGACTCACTTGGGGCTTTGGTTCCTGCGAAACGATTCAATCTGTTGGCTACCTTCGTACTTCGGAGTGTGGTAGCCTTTCTGCGCTTCCGTCCAGTTTTCGTGGGCCGCGACATATTTTGTGCTAAAGGCGAAAGTGGCCATTCCTTTTTTAAAGATGGGGAGCCCTCCCCTAAATTATTGGTCGAACCAGTCCAATTGGCGAACTTCTTCGAACATACCCAAAAGCAGATGCCCAAATTTGGCACAATACGCAGTAATTATAAGGTATCTGTGAGCCTCAAAATCTTGAAAGATACTAACTTTAAGACACTGCCCATCGGACAGCGTCTATTCCGCTCACCATCAACGAGACATTGAAACGTTATGACAACGTCTCTCAAAACTGTCGTCTTCATGGGTTCTGCCCGCAGTATTCCTGCCTTTTGGGGTGGTGATAAAAGACTTGGTGACCGTGTTCTGAATTGGGTCAAGGCTACATTGAAAGATCGTAAGGGCACTTTAGGAGACGAAACTATCAGTCATGATGTCACCATTGTAGATCCCGTCGATGTCTTCAAACCCGACGGTGCCCTTGGTAGCATTTCAGCTGGTGAATTGAGCACGACAACCTTCATGATGAAAGCAGATGATTTGCCTGAGAAAACCAAGGCATTGATGGAGACCATTCGTAGCGCCGATTGTTACTTGATTGTCAGTCCAGAATACAATCATACGGTTCCGCCTGCGCTCGCTTCCGTCATGGGTCACTTTGGAGGATCCTTGTACAAGTGCAAGCCTTCTGGCATTATCACTTACTCGCCTGGTCCATTTGCTGGTATGCGAGCAGCCATGAGTATTCAAGTCATGTGCCACGAATTAGGATGTCTCCCTGTCTCCAAGTTGGTTGGTATTCCAGCTGTGAGTGACTTGTTCAATGAAGATGGTACGCCAAAGGATCCCGAGGCCCGCATGCTCAAACAACTTCCAGAATTGTTGGATCAATTGGAATGGATGGCTATGGCTATGAAGAGTCAAAGAGAAAAGACTGGAGCTTTCTAGTTTTGCTGAGCAAGTTTGCATCGCTTCGGAGACAAACAATGCCATGGCTACTTCCTTCGTTGATCTAATGAGTAGTCATCAAACTAAACTTGGACATCCTCACTATTCAGTAGTCATCTATCTAGTAGCTGCCTAGTACTGGATATCCTCACTGCATGTACAAAAACGTTGTATTTATATTGTATTGTTATGATTGACGGTATAATGCAAAAGTCAAAGGTAAAATATGGATATGCAAAAATGTGTTCCATTGTAGGAACTACAAAACCGTGCTACATGGAAACTTCTTGGTGGGCACCAAGTGGGGCGGGTTGTGATTTGAAATGTCCAGGACTCTTGGCAAGTCTTCTTGTGGAGCAGCTTTGCCAGCGGCAAGGACCATTTGGCTCATGTCACCTTCAGATGCGTCGTCTTCAGTATTGTCCATGGTTTGGACATACTTATAATGCCGAAGTGCACGCTCATGAGCCTGAACGGCGGCAGCTTCCGAGCAAATGGCATAACTTGTGCTGAGGCTGTTGGATGAATCATCCGAGTCGCTTTCGCTGTCCATATCGATCGAATTATTTTTGGAAAGGATAGAAGCACGAGCGGCCGAAATTCGTTTGCTGCGTTGTAGACGTTCAATATCAGTGTACAAACCAAGACTCAAGAGCGCAACACTACTCTTCTTCATGCCAAATTTTTCAGGTTGTCGGGCGATGACATGTCGTAGTCTCTTGTCCTTTCGGATCCTTTCAATTATTTCCTTTTGTGTGAACCAAATGGCTTGAAAGTGTTCATGAATAGTTCGGGGCGGGAATGCGGTTCGACGCATTCGCACCAGCTCATTGAATCTTACTTTTCTTGTAAGCGATGATGTACTAGAGCATTGAGCTACAGGCTTGATAGTCTGAACTCCCTGTTGAACAGTGAGTGTGATAGGTGATACGCAAACAACTGTCATGGTTGATTTTATCGACTGTTTGGACAGTCTCTAGGTTAAACAGTCTCTTCTGCGAATTCAGAATTGTGTTTGAAATGGAAGCGCTTATATTGTTGTCCTTCCAAATGCGCATGCAATATGAGAGTACCGCAATGTGTTAACGGTGTGTATTCGTCAGACTTGTTCCATGCTCGATGCGCTCCGCGTGTACATATATTTTGCCATATTAACTTCTTATCTACACCTGATGGATATAAGAAACGTGTCACGAGTAAGACTTCTTAGGTAATGTCATGTTTCTGACTCGTTAAATGTAGTGTGATCATGATGAGAATCTTACGAATGCGGGTATTTTGGAAAATATGGGCAGAAATTTCTGTGAAGTATCTTTTATATTCATGTCACCTGACGGAGTTGGAGGATTTTGAATACCAGCAGATGAGAAACCTCCAATACCGGCAAGTTGGTCCGGTACTGGTAGCTACATAAAAAAAGGTAGTACATAGTACTTTGAACTTTGGATCGTAGTTATCCAGCTGCTTGGATGCAAATTTTGTTGAGTTCTGCAACTCGACAACAATGTTGTGGGACTTCGAATATCCTCTGAAGGAGAAATCTTTATGGCACGGATGATCTACACTTGGTAATACCGGCGGCAAGTGAAGTATGACAATGAAGTTATCCTCCAACTGCTTGGATAAACGTACCATACCGTACCTCATGGTAAACCCCGTGTAATTAACTCAGCTCCTTCATGAATCAATCGGAAGTACCACTAGTACCTGGTACCGTGTACGTCACAGCAGATTCGTACAGCATGCTCCGTAGTATATATAAGTTGCACAACAGTGTCAAGAAGGAAGCATGTGAATCGGATATCGAACGCTATAGTGTAACCGCATGACTTGGACTCGGAATGATATACTTGCGCAATCGAGCAGAGGCTCTGAAAGCTACTACTAACAGAAAGGGGGATAAATTGGTATATATTAATGGTAATCTGTCTATAACTTTATATTATGGTTAACCTAACGGCTTGAAGCAAAATTGGAAGGGGTAAAAGTGTGTTCCATACATGTAGTTGGTGAACCTACAAAATTGTGCCACATGGGCTCTTAGGCAGCAATGCACGGCCCAATTTGCTGTGGGGCAGATACGAGTTTGAGGAGATATCCACGCTGGGCAATAAGTCTTGTGGAGCAGCTTCGCCAGTCGTCACAGCGAGCCCTTGGCTCATGTCATCTTCCGATGCGTCGTCTCCCATGTCCATGGCTTGGATATGGTTGGAATGTTGAAGTGCCCGCTCGTGAGCCTCAACGGAAGCAGCCTTGGAGTGAAGGGCATAACTGATTGTGAGACTGCCGGAAGAATCATCCGACTCACTGCCTCTAGTTCTGTCCACACCGACCGACTTATTTTTAGAAAGAACGGAAGCACGAGCGGCAATCGCTCGATTGCAACGTTGAAGACGTTCAACCTCGCTGTACAAACCAAGACCAACGAGCTTCTCGGTCCCAAAGGTCTCGGGTCGTCGGGCAATGGCATATCGTATCCTCTTGTCTTTTCTCCGCCTGTCAAGTATTTCCTTTTGTGTGAACCAAACGGCTTGAAACTCTTCCTGAGTGGGTCGTGATAGGAATGCGGTCCGACGTAGTCTCACCAGGTCATTGAACGTCACCTTTCTTGGAGCTGTGAATGGGCCTGGTGCTGAGGACGGCATCAAGCACTGTTTATCCGCTGCTGGTTTGTTGACAGACCTCGAAACGCCCTGTAGAACAGTGCATGTGGTGGGTGATACGCAAAAGCCAGGCATTGTTTATTCTATGGACTGTAGTGTATTGGACGAGTTGAATGGTCCACGTTGAATGGTGGAAGCTGCCTGTTGCAAAACGTGGTAGTGAGTGTTTTTGGTCTTTCTATTGAAACGGAAGAATTACTGTAGATCCAGCTTTGAGACTCTTGTGAGTGTGTTCGCCATGGCTCGGTGAACACCAGGACATAATGATTCCCCTGTCAATCACACATGGACATTATATAAAAGTTGTAACGTGACCCATATATTGATCTTCGCAGAACAACTATGATTTTTCTACGATTATAAGTAGAACGGGGAGAGAAGAACGTTACGAATACTCCAAAATACTGTAGACCGAGATAAAACAGGAATGTCAAGTCATTCTGACAACTTGGGGGGCCTTTGACTACAGGAAGGAGATAACAGTGTCATCCTTGAGTTCTTTGTTGATCCAACATGAGAGTACTTTGTACCAAGTCATTTAACTACTTGGATCAGATCAAGAAAGTGGCCACTCTTCGAAAACGTACCGGTGCGGTACAGTAGCACACTCCCGCGAAATGTGAGCTGCTTCAAAGAACCAGACCGCAGTGCAAGTTGAAAGAAGAAGCAACAGTTGCTTCTACTAGGTGCAGCCATGCAGGAGGTCAGATTCGTGTTACAAATAGTAGCTGCTACTGCTAGTAGTTCATAAGATGCATGGCAATTCCATGTAGGAAATGTGTGTATACCACTGCATTCTAACCATGGGTGCTGGCTGCCCGCATACAGTAGCACTGAGCCAACTACAGTACCGTATACGGAAAGATTGCAATGTCAATGATAAACTTCTTGTTCGACCACCTATTAAATCCATACACGGGTACCAGCAGGTACAGCTCGTATACATACGTATAGAAAAGTGGTGATGATTCTAAACAGCATCAAGTTTAGTAGAGTATAACTTTGTATTGTGTTGTATTGTGATTAACGGTATGAAGCAAAATTGTAAGGAGCAAAACTGTGTCCGATATGTAGTGGTTGGAACTGCAAAACTGTGTGTGCCGCATGGGCTCTCAGGCAGCCACCCGCACCCCAATTGGTGGCGAGGACACCAAATTGGAAGTTGAGATAATGTCCATGCTTGGTAAGGCTTGTGAGGCAGTTTCGCGAGTACTACTACTAGTAGTGTCAGAGAACTCTTGAGTTTTCTTTGCTGATGCATCGTCTTCATTATTGTCCATACTTTGGACATGTTTGGAATGTTGAAGCGCACGTTCGTGAGCCTCTACGGCAGCTGCCTTGGAATGAAGGGCATAACTGGTAAACGTCATGGTGGGAATGGTTGGCGTACTAGTCAGACTGCTGTCATCCGAGTCGCTGCCACTGCTGTCTACATCCATTGCCTTTCTCTTATTAGTAAGGACAGAGTCACGAGCGGCCACTGCTCGCTTGCAACGTTGCAAACGTTCACTCTCCGTGTACAAACCAAGACTCAAAAGTTTGTGCGTGCCAAACACTTCAGGTTGTTTGGCAACGGCATATCGTAGCCTCTTGTCTTTCCGCCGCCTTTCTAGAATTTCCTTTTCAGTGAACCAAATGGCTTGAAACTCTTCGGAGGTCCGGGGTGGGACAACGGTCCGGCGTATTCTCACTTTTTGACTGAAGCTCACTTTGGACGTGTGTGAGGAAGTGGAATGTGCGACTGGCTTGGGAGTGGGAACTCCCTGTCGGACAGTGAGTGATGGTGATATGCAAACGACAGTCATGGTTTATTCTATTGACTTGACTGCAATGTATGGTACCGGTATGAGACTGTTTGTTGTAACAGTCTTTGTCAAGTTGTGTGTTTCAGTTTCCTTGATGGAAGGTATTTTTTGTCCGTTCCAAAAAAAAGAGGAAAAAGAGAGGAAACAATTTTGTGGAGCTCCAAATAGTCTTGACTCAGAATGGGTCATACTTCTCTGCGACTCTAACTAAATCTGGTTTAAGCAAGCAAGTATACTTAGGGCACAGGATGTCTTTTCTACTATGGGTCTTGAATGCTCATTTAACCAGTCCGTGATTGGGAATCTCAACATTTGGCGCCCTTTCCAAACACGGTCTTTGTTCCGTCCTTTCGCAAACGGAAGTTTGAAACAAGCCGTCCAGTTTGGATTCCATCGACTGCTTTTCGTGCGGGCGTTTGAATCCGACTACCAACCGTTCACGTAGATTCTACAGGGTGCGCCAACGCATTTCGGTCTCCGTTGCAACGGTTACTTTGGAAAATTAGCCCTTGGGGTTCACGGGTATCTTATTCGTGACTGTTGCTACTTATGGTTGCATCTTATTGTCGATAACCGAACTGTTTCTTTCTTTATATGTTGTATCATTCTAAATGCCATTGATGATTCACGGACCGGTTCACGCAACGGTACGCGTATCGCTAGTACCATCGTAGAAAGAACGATGAGTTTTGGGTACCGGTATCGTTGAGTGTCACGTAACGCATCGCTAGAAAGTGTTCAAGTGCAAGCGAAAAAGTGGGAGTTTCGTGGTACGGAACAGAAACTGAAGTTATTTACTGTGGTGTGAGAGGCAAAAGACAGAAGACGGCATGAAAAGATCGTGTGGGTTTGACAGAAATGCGAAAGTGAGATGGAGCTTGCTTAGCGGTATTTTATTGTACCTAATCGTACAGTGCCAAGAGGTCACATGGTATTGAGACCGGAAGATCCAGATGCAAAAAGGAAGAACAAATTAGCATTGAGGCGGTCTTCACTGCACACAGCGGCAATTCGTCATCCAAAATCGTCAACGGAAAGCTTGTTTTAACTAGTAAGAATTTAGTAGTAGTAGCTTCTTCTAGCCCATCTAGTACATTCCTCCTCCATTATCATTCCTTCTAATTTCGTTTGCACTCCACCTTTCCCTCTAGCTGTAGACCTACTGTAGTAAGGTTGTTGGGTTGGCACAACCCACT